TTACCATCTCCACTTTCTGTCAGAGTGCTTGCTTCCTAACATTCAGGCAATTTTGGAATAAAATTGCTTCTCTCCAGTTTTTCAGATTCTCTTTGACATTCATTGGCCTTTACTTCCTCCATTTCATGCCATTTCCTTTTTGCCTGGCTCAGCTCTTCTCTCAGAAGAAATATTTCTTGCTCAGTAGATTCTTCTTGAATCTGAGGGATCTTGTTTGTTAGGCTGTCCTCCAGAATCTCTGACCGCCTCTGAACCTTTAACAAAAGTTCTTCCCTTTCTTCAGCCTTGATCTTCTCATTGCTCAGAAGTTCTTGTTGACACTTCAATTCCTTCTCAGTTTCGAGAATCATCTGCACAAGGACTGCTGCTCAATGGATACCACCCGATCCCCTTGTCTCCACTGCTGTGAAAATATGCCTTATCAACACTCTCCTGCAGGTTCATCTCCAGTTTGCTCTTCTCTGCTTGAAGTCAATCAATCTAGTAAAGATGTGGGACTTCTGAAATCTGCAGCCCCCATAAAAATTAAGACTAAAGGTGGTATACCCCCAGCAGTTAAGCAGTATCCTATCGTAGCAGAAGCTATTCCTAGTATCACTAAACAAATACAGAATTTTTTGGATAAGGGCATTTAAGACCTACTGTTAGTCCTTTTAATACTCCCATTTTACCTGTAAATAAAAATCGAAAGGATGAGGATGGAAATCCTGAGTATCGGTTTGTTCAGGATTTACGAGCTGTAAATGAATATGTAGAACCCCCACATCCAGTAGTTCCCGATCCTTCTACTATCCTTACAAAAATACCAATTTGGGCGAAATACTATACTGTTTTGGATTTGACCGGAGCTTTCTTTACAATACCAATTGACCCTGACAGCCAGAGTTTATTTGCCTTTACATGGGAAGGTCGCCAGTATACCTGGACCAGACTTCCTCAAGGATTTACTGCTTCACCAACTTTGTTCTCTCAAATATTAAAGAGAGACTTACAAGATCTGGAACTACCGGCTGGGTCAGAATTGATACAATATGTGGATGATTTGTTAATTGCAAGTAAAGATTATGACAGTTGTGTAAAAGATACTAAATATGTATGTCTTAGATTATATGAGAAAGGACATAAAGCATCTCTCTCCAAATTGCAGTTTTGTGAGCCTGAGGTAAAATATTTAGGGTTTATACTAGCCGAAGGTACTAGGAAATTAGATCCAGATAGGGTACAGGCAATTCAGGAAATCGCTAGACCTTTGACTAAGAAACAAATGAGAGCCTTTCTTGGACAAGCTGGATATTGTAGACCGTGGATACTGGGTTTTTCAGAGATTGCAAAACCTTTGGTAGAGACTACTAAAGATGTGAGCCCAGAACCCATACCATGGACGGAAGAATTGGAAACAGCTTTTATGTCCATGAAGACTGCCTTGGTAAATGCTCCAGCTCTTGGGTTACCAGATTACAAAAAACCTTTTAAATTATATGTAACAGAGAACAGAGGAATTGCAAAGGGAGTATTAATTCAGAAGCATGGACCCTACGAACGTCCTGTAGCATACTATTCTGTCACCTTGGACCCAGTTATCAGAGGATCTCCATACTGTCTGCGATCTATTGCCGCAGCTGCTGAGCTGGTGGAAAAGGCAAGGAATATTGTGCTAGGCCATTATCTCATAGTTGCTGTTCCCCATGAGGTTGAACTTTACTAACCAAATATGCAGAAAAAGCACTCTCTGCACAAAGGACACACAGATATGAAATGATCCTTTTGCTAACGGAGAATGTCAAACTTGAGAGATCAAAGACTCTTAACCCTGCTACCTTACTCCCAGTGACTGAACCTGAAAGATCACACGACTGTGTAGCTGTCTTGAAAACCATAAGCAAGACTAGAGAAGATTTGAGGGACACTCCGGTGGAACACCCTGATTTGAATCTCTTTACTGACGGATCTTCCTTTTATCTTCACGGTAAGAGATTTACGGGCTTTGCAATAGCTACTGAAAAGTTTGTTCTCATTGCTGAACCCTTGCCACCGACATTAGGAGCTCAAGCTGCAGAATTGATAGCACTAACCAAAGCAGCATTGTATGCTAAGAATAAACGAGTTAATATTTACACTGACTCGAAGTATGCCTATGGCATTTGTCATGCAGTCGGTGCATTGTGGAAAGAAAGAGGCTTTCTAACATCTGCAGGTAAAACCATTGCACATGGGTCTTTGATTAATGACTTGTTGTTGGCAATACAAGAGCCAAAGGAAGTTGCGGTAATTTATATACCTGCTCATACGAAGCGCACTGATCAGCTTGCGACAGGTAATTTTCTTGCAGATGCCGCAGCACGAGCCGCCGCTACTAAAAATTACCCCACGACTGAAGTTGTGGTTGCTAATTTCTTTTCTATCCCAAACCCTGATACCCTTTATCGCGATGTCCCGACCACCGAAATGGAAGAATGGAAGAAGACGCAAGCCGTGCAAGATAAAGGGACCTGGACCCTGGATGGTAAACCTCTATTGCCCAGAAGGTATGTACTGCCGCTTGCGCGTTGGTACCATGAGAAGGGGCATGGAGGTCCCGAAGCAGTAGCCTCAAAGGTAACCCAGCTATGGGCAGCACCAGGAATCTTTTCAGCAGCTAAGAAACTGACTGAAGGATGTTCTTCGTGTAAGAGATATGGAGATATAAGGCCAAAAGTAACGCCAGGGAAGAGGCCGCCAGCAGTCTATCCTTTTCAGAAACTTCAGATTGACTTTGCGGAAATGCCAGCCGCTCTCGGATATAAATATTGCTGGTAATAGTAGATCAACTCTCTGGGTGGGTAGAAGCTTTCCCGACCCGGAAGAATGATTCAAAAATAGTTGTAAAAATCTTGCTTAAGGAAATCATTCCTCGATATGGCGTACCTGAGGTGATAGACTCTGACCGTGGACCGCATTTTACAGCATCTATTTTATTACAAGTTTATGTAACCCTAGACATCAAAGGACAGTTTCATACTCCGTATCACCCACCTTCATCAGGGCAAGTAGAAAGAATGAATAGAACAATTAAGGAGAAATTAGCAAAAGTATGCAGTGAAACTGAATTAAAGTGGCCAGAGGCATTAAATTTAGTTTTATGGGATCTTAGAACTACTCCAAAGCAGCCGTTAGGAATTAGCCCAGCAGAGGTCCTATTTGGACGAATTTTAGCTGTACCTGGTTCGTATATTTCAGCAAAAACTGCACTACTGGATGGAGATGAGAATGTCACTCAATATTTATTATATTTACAAGATTCCTTTCAGAAAATTAGAAAATATGCATATTGGTACCAAGGTGTGACACCAGAAGTACAGGTTCATGATTATAAAGTGGGAGATGAAGTGTTGGTAAAAACATTTAAACGAAAGAATAAGATGTTGCCAAAATAGGAAGTAAGCCATATGATGCAAGTTGTGCAACGAGACAATGTATCCTGGGATGTTAGTGATTTATGGCAATGGGCTACTTCTTGGATTCCTGATTTTCCAACTTTAATCAAGAAGATTCTAATGGTAGTCGTTTTAGTCATAATCATTTTGATCATGGTAATGTTTGTATGTCAGTGTTGTGTCTCGTGTTTATCTCGTATTCCCACCAGACCCTATTGTATCCGATAGGATAGTGAGTATCCTAAAAGAAAAGGGGGGACTGTTGGGAAAATGTTGCAATGCAGTGCTGCTGCACAAGCTGTTCTATCAGCTCTGTCCCCTGTATAGCCCCAGCCCAGGGCTGCAAGCACAGTCAACTGAATAGAGCATCAATAAAATGTTGTAACAAAGGTAATGGGGCCTGACAGTTCAAAGGATGTTGATGTATGAGAAACTGGCCCTTAGCTACCGAAGCAATGGGAGATCTATCATTGTGACTACTAAGAACTGAGACGTACAGAACTTGAGGTAATCTCCCTTGAAGACTAAAAGAAAGAAGAAACAAACAACGAAGTGGTCGGACTCCAGAACAAGATGTGAAACCCACTGTCAAGATAATAATGACTGATAAAGTATAATTCTGTGTATTCTGGATTAGGTAATGCTTTGTAGGTGCATAAATACATGTATGCGAACTCATGTAAGCTGTCACTCTCTGCGGAGGTGACCCAACGCTGCTGGACCTGAATAAAATCCTAGAGTAACCCACGACGGAGTTCGAGTCTCCTTTAACAATAACGTGTGACTCTTTCTGGGGCTGCCGTATAGCCTCCTCGCCTCCCGGTTGTGGCCCTCTAGGTCTTCTCGCCTGACATGGTATCTTGTCTGAGAGTCCTTATCGCTTAGAGTTTATCTTGGAATCAAACCTTTTGTAGCGTTTAGCGTTAGTGTACGCGTGTGCCTGTTTGGCTCAGAGCTGCCCTGCCTGGGGGGTGTAGAGTCAGGAGTAAGTAGAACGGCAGTAGAAGTCAACGGTTTAAATGCTGATACGCTTAGACCGCCTAGGCGACAGACGTACGGTCACCTCGCAGTAGCCACCACAGGCTGTGCGGCTGGTCATTTCTAGAGCGTTTTATGGAGACTGTTGGAGCGGTGTGGGAGCGGCTGTCCAGCAGTAGCAAATGAGATGGAATCTCAAAGGTGTTAAGGCTCGTAGGTGTGGGAGCGTACGCTCTGGGGGGAGGCGCGTGGTTTTCTTTTTAACAGCAGGCTGTAGTTGGATGCCTGCTAGTATCCCTAGCCGGAAGTGACACCTCCGGATTTGTTAAGCATCCGGGTGACTCGCATACTGTTTTGACATGCAGATGGATGAGATGCGCACCAAAGAGTGACGGGGGGGTAAGCGGAGGGCTGTGAGAAGGTGGGTCACTGAGCGGTGCGGGAGGGAAGATGGCAGCGGTGCTATCTGAGGGATGATAGCGTGTGTGTGTGTTTTGTGTGTTTTTGTCTGTTGTTTTTTTTTAGATGGAGAGCCACAAGCAAAGTAGGATTTCGGCACCGGAGGCAGTTGGGCGAGTGAGCCAGGACTAGGGGGGTTAAAGTAGCAGTTCTTATTTTAGGCATCCAATTGTAGGTGAAAGTAGAAGCATCCCTTGTTGTAAGTGTGTTACAGGTGGCACACGAGCCTTGACGTGACAACTGGAAACAGCAGCGGCTGGGCAGGTGAAGGGCCGAGGTAAGGGAGCGGGAGATGGGGATCCGTGCGGGCAGAACCCAGTTTCAGGCGGTAACTCGGCACGTGTCTTTTCCTTGAGATTTTTGCAGGTGCCGCGGAGGGGCCGAGCCGCGCAGACCGACAGTCTGAGAAGGTGAGGCGGTTGTCAGCCAGGTCGGTGTCTAATACGGAAGTATCGTAGGACCGCTCCGTTGAGCGCTCGCCTTGTTTTTGCAGGTGCTTTGGGAGCCGCCTTTGGGATCGGATGAGCGTTTGAAGCGAGCCGGGGTAGTCGCAAGGAGGATCGTGGGTGACTCGTTAGAAGCGCAAGGGTAACTGTCTCTCGGCATCTTAGGTAACGCCAGCGACGACGCCTGCAGCATTGACTCTGCAAAGAGCCGGTGAGCGGAACCCCGCGACGCTTCCGAGTACAGGGGGGTGTCGTGGAAGAGGTAGGCACGGAGCAGCACGATGCCAACGGCCGGCTGTGTTTTCTCCCGTTCGTGTTTCCTTGCAGGTGAAGAGGAAGGCGTCAACTGCGGGAACGTGCTAGTTAGCTGCTGTGCTGCTTTTGTCGAGGATGGAATGGATCTCCGGCCCTCTGAAAGCTAAGTCGAGTGAACGGGGCCACGAGGAGGGGCCGAGGTTGGGAATTGCAGGGAAGCGTTTGAAAGTTAGCATGGGGAGAAGGCTGTACGGGAGCGGGGCCCTCCGGTCAGGTAAAGGGAACGGATTACTTTTCCCCTCGATGTTCGCGTGTCCCGGGCAGGCAGTTCCAGCCTCTGCGTGTGTCATCGTGTAGTTTGTTTCTTCTGCCTGCCGTGTCTTTGCCCTTCCTCGGCTCTAAATGTCCTCGCGTGTCTTTTGTGCTCGAGGAGCACGGCTTGTGCCTGAGGCGCCATCCGTAGGGTATCGAACGCCCATCTTCATCGGCACGCTGCCGATCGGGTGCTTTTTATTCTTGCGTTATAAGCTTGAAGCGTGGGTAGGTCTTGGAAGTTTCCGGTCGGGAGTCTTTTGCGCAGCATCGTCGCCGGCTGCGGCATCAGCTCTGCTCCTTAGGCATCCGTTTTCACGGACTGCGACATCTCCCCTGCATCCCTCAGTCCTAGGATTCGGACTCCTACTTCTCATCCACCGTCTCGGTTTTGACGGTAGCTTCTTATAACGGGCCATAACGCGTGACTCTTTCTGGGGCTGCCGTATAGCCTCCTCGCCTCCCGGTTGTGGCCCTCTAGGTCTTCTCGCCTGACATGGTATCTTGTCTGAGAGTCCTTATCGCTTAGAGTTTATCTTGGAATCAAACCTTTGGTAGCGTTTAGCATTAGTGTATGCGTGTGCCTGTTTGGCTCAGAGCTGCCCTGCCTGGGGGGTGTAGAGTCAGGAGTAAGTAGAACGGCAGTAGAAGTCAACGGTTTAAATGCTGATACGCTTAAACCGCCTAGGCGACAGACGTACGGTCACCTCGCAGTAGCCACCACAGGCTGTGCGGCCGGTGATTTCTAGAGCGTTTTATGGAGACTGTTGGAGCGGTGTGGGAGCGGCTGTCCAGCAGTAGCAAATCAGATGGAATCTCAAAGGTGTTAAGGCTCGTAGGTGGGAGGAGGCGCGTGGTTTTCTTTTTAACAACAGGCTGTAGTTGGATGCCGGCTAGTATCCCTAGCCGGAAGTGACACCTCCGGATTGTTAAGCATCCGGGTGACTTGCATGACTGTTTTGACATGCAGATGGATGAGATGCGCACCAAAGAGTGACGGAGGAGGTGAGCGGAGGGCTGTGAGAAGGTGGGTCACTGAGCGGTGCGGCAGGGAAGATGGCACCAGTGCTATCTGAGGGGATGATAGCAGTGTGTGGTGTTTTTTGTTTGTTGTTTTTTTTTAGATGGAGAGCCACAAGCAAAGTAGGATTTGGCACCGGAGGCAGCTTGGGCGAGGTGAGCCACGACTAGGGGGGTTAAAGTAGCAGTTCTTATTTTAGGCATCAAATTGTAGGTGAAAGTAGAAGCATCCCTTGTTGTAAGTGTGTTACAGGTGGCACACGAGCCTTGACGTGACAACTGGAAACAGCAGCGGGGGCAGGTGAAGGGCCGAGGTAAGGGAGCGGGAGATGGGGATCCGTGCGGGCAGAACCCAGTTTCAGGCGGTAACTCGGCACGTGTCTTTTCCTTGAGTTTTTTGCAGGTGCCGCGGAGGGGCCGAGGCACACGCAGACCGACAGTCTGAGAAGGTGAGGCAGTTGTCAGCCAGGTCGGTGTCTAATACGGAAGTATCGTAGGACCGCTCCGTTGAGCGCTCGCCTTGTTTTTGCAGGTGCTTTGGGAGCCGCCTTTGGGATCGGATGAGCGTTTGAAGCGAGCCGGGGTAGTCGCAAGGAGGATCGTGGGTGACTCGTTAGAAGCGCAAGGGTAACTGTCTCTCGGCATCTTAGGTAACGCCAGCGACGACGCCTGCAGCATTGACTCTGCAAAGAGCCGGTGAGCGGAACCCCGCGACGCTTCCGAGTACAGGGGGGTGTCGTGGAAGAGGTAGGCACGCAGCAGCGCGATGCCAACGGCCGGTTGTGTTTTCTCCCGTTCGTGTTTTCTTGCAGGTGAAGAGGAAGGCGGCAACTGCGGGAACGTGCTAGTTAGCTGCTGTGCTGCTTTTGTCGAGGATGGAATCGGACCTCCGGCCCTGTGAAAGCTAAGTCGAGCGAACGGGGCCGAGAGGAGGGGCCGAGGTTGGGAATTGCAGGGAAGTGTTTGAAAGTTAGCACGGGGGAGAAGGCTGTACGGGAGCGGGGCCCTCCGGTCAGGTAAAGGGAACGGATTACTTTTCCCCTCGATGTTAGCGTGTCCCGGGCAGGGCAGTTCCCGCCTCTGCGTGTGTCATCGTGGAGTTTGTTTCTTCTGTCTGCCGTGTCTTTGCCCTTCCTCGGCTCGAAATGTCCTCACTTCTCTTTGGGCTCGAGGAGCACGGCACGCGTCTCAGGGGACATCCCTAAGGTATCGAACGCCCATCTTCATCGGCACGCTGCCGATCGGGTGCTTTTTTTATTCTTGCATTATCAGCTTAAAGCGTGGGTAGGTCTTGGAAGTTTCCGGTCGGGAGTCTTTTGCGCAGCATCGTCGCCGGCTGCGGCATCAGCTCTGCTCCTTAGGCGTCCATTTTCACGGACTGTGACGTCTTCCCTGCATCCCTCCGTCCTAGGATTAGGACTCCTACTTCTCATCCACCGTCTCGGTTTTGACGGTAGCTTCTTATAACGGGCCATAACTGTTGGGAAAATGTTGCAATGCAGTGCTGCTGCACAAGCTGTTCTATCAGCTCTGTCCCCTGTATAGCCCCAGCCCAGGGCTGCAAGCACAGTCAACTGAATAGAGCATCAATAAAATGTTGTAACAAAGGTAATGATGGGCCTGACAGTTCAAAGGATGTTGATGTATGAGAAACTGGCCCTTAGCTACCGAAGCAATGGGAGATCTATCATTGTGACTACTAAGAACTGAGACGTACAGAACTTGAGGTAATCTCCCTTGAAGACTAAAAGAAAGAAGAAACAAACAACGAAGTGGTCGGACTCCAGAACAAGATGTGAAACCCACTGTCAAGATAATAATGACTGATAAAGTATAATTCTGTGTATTCTGGATTAGGTAATGCTTTGTAGGTGCATAAATACATGTATGCGAACTCATGTAAGCGTCACTCTCTCTGCGGAGGTGACCCAACGCTGCTGGACCTGAATAAAATCCTAGAGTAACCCACGACGGAGTTCGAGTCTCCTTTAACAGTTTTGGCACCCCAGATGGGACTCTAGGCTGTGACGGGGAGGACGAATAAAAGAGGATCCCGATATTACATCCTACAAACTGCCGGCTACAGAAAGGTGAGTTCAAGTCTCCCCTTGTCTGTGTTTGTGGGTTGGAATAGGAAAGGATCACTCTGAAATACCCCTCACAAAGAAAATTGCAGAATGGGAGGATATCCTTCAGTACCTAAAGGATCCCCCTTGGCAGAATTATTAGCAAATTGGAATAAACTTTCTGGGACAGCAGGGTTGAGTAAAAGTAAAATTATAGTGTTATGTCAAGATGACTGGCCATTTTTAACCAGAATTAGAGGGGCAGGTCCCCAAGAAGTATGGCCACCTGAAGGTACCTTCGATGAAACTAGGTTGAAATGTTTGAGATTGATATTAGAAGATAGAATCCGCAGCAGATGAATTATTTATTTTTATGGCTGGAATGGGCCGATTTGAGAAATCGTATGGCTCTAAAGAAACCTATGAAAAGAGAAGAATTAATTGCCTTCCTTGATGATCATCAGGGAAAGAATCAGAACCAGAGTTCCCATCCACAATCAGAAGGGAAATCTGTTGTAGGACAATATCCTATGGTAGTGGAATTTCATTCCAATCCTAGAGTAGGCCCCAACTCAGGACCTGAAGTTCCTCCAGTTATTGCAGTTTCCACACACCAACCCTGGAAACCTGGTGATTTAATGTTGTGGCAAGAAAAAATGCCGAGGTTAAGGGACAATGCTGAAAAATGCGCTAAGTTTTTTTTTTTTTCTTCTTTTTCTGACAGTAGCTTGTCATATTCAGAAGAGACATGAATCAGGTTTTCAGTGACTTCAGTGACTCCTGCTGCAGTTCGTCAGTTGTTTCCTTCAATGCCTCTTGCGCTTCTAAGAGTTGATATTCTTTCTCTGAAATACTTTCTTTCAGCTCCACAATAGTCTCCTGATGTTGTCTGAGAGAGCAATGAGCACATTTCAACTCCTCCTGCATCTCTGAATTCTTGCTAATTGTCTCCTGTATGGTTTCTCTTAACTGCTCTCTCTCATTTTGGAGATTCTCTAGTTGTATTGTAAGATTACCATCTCCACTTTCTGTCAGAGTGCTTGCTTCCTAACATTCAGGCAATTTTGGAATAAAATTGCTTCTCCAGTTTTTCAGATTCTCTTTGACATTCATTGGCCTTTACTTCCTCCATTTCATGCCATTTCCTTTTTGCCTGGCTCAGCTCTTCTCTCAGAAGAAATATTTCTTGCTCAGTAGATTCTTCTTGAATCTGAGGGATCTTGTTTGTTAGGCTGTCCTCCAGAATCTCTGACCGCCTCTGAACCTTTAACAAAAGTTCTTCCCTTTCTTCAGCCTTGATCTTCTCATTGCTCAGAAGTTCTTGTTGACACTTCAATTCCTTCTCAGTTTCGAGAATCATCTGCACAAGGACTGCTGCTCAATGGATACCACCCGATCCCCTTGTCTCCACTGCTGTGAAAATATGCCTTATCAACACTCTCCTGCAGGTTCATCTCCAGTTTGCTCTTCTCTGCTTGAATCAATCTAGTAAAGATGTGGGACTTCTGAAATCTGCAGCCCCCATAAAAATTAAGACTAAAGGTGGTATACCCCCAGCAGTTAAGCAGTATCCTATCGTAGCAGAAGCTATTCCTAGTATCACTAAACAAATACAGAATTTTTTGGATAAGGGCATTTAAGACCTACTGTTAGTCCTTTTAATACTCCCATTTTACCTGTAAATAAAAATCGAAAGGATGAGGATGGAAATCCTGAGTATCGGTTTGTTCAGGATTTACGAGCTGTAAATGAATATGTAGAACCCCCACATCCAGTAGTTCCCGATCCTTCTACTATCCTTACAAAAATACCAATTTGGGCGAAATACTATACTGTTTTGGATTTGACCGGAGCTTTCTTTACAATACCAATTGACCCTGACAGCCAGAGTTTATTTGCCTTTACATGGGAAGGTCGCCAGTATACCTGGACCAGACTTCCTCAAGGATTTACTGCTTCACCAACTTTGTTCTCTCAAATATTAAAGAGAGACTTACAAGATCTGGAACTACCGGCTGGGTCAGAATTGATACAATATGTGGATGATTTGTTAATTGCAAGTAAAGATTATGACAGTTGTGTAAAAGATACTAAATATGTATGTCTTAGATTATATGAGAAAGGACATAAAGCATCTCTCTCCAAATTGCAGTTTTGTGAGCCTGAGGTAAAATATTTAGGGTTTATACTAGCCGAAGGTACTAGGAAATTAGATCCAGATAGGGTACAGGCAATTCAGGAAATCGCTAGACCTTTGACTAAGAAACAAATGAGAGCCTTTCTTGGACAAGCTGGATATTGTAGACCGTGGATACTGGGTTTTTCAGAGATTGCAAAACCTTTGGTAGAGACTACTAAAGATGTGAGCCCAGAACCCATACCATGGACGGAAGAATTGGAAACAGCTTTTATGTCCATGAAGACTGCCTTGGTAAATGCTCCAGCTCTTGGGTTACCAGATTACAAAAAACCTTTTAAATTATATGTAACAGAGAACAGAGGAATTGCAAAGGGAGTATTAATTCAGAAGCATGGACCCTACGAACGTCCTGTAGCATACTATTCTGTCACCTTGGACCCAGTTATCAGAGGATCTCCATACTGTCTGCGATCTATTGCCGCAGCTGCTGAGCTGGTGGAAAAGGCAAGGAATATTGTGCTAGGCCATTATCTCATAGTTGCTGTTCCCCATGAGGTTGAACTTTACTAACCAAATATGCAGAAAAAGCACTCTCTGCACAAAGGACACACAGATATGAAATGATCCTTTTGCTAACGGAGAATGTCAAACTTGAGAGATCAAAGACTCTTAACCCTGCTACCTTACTCCCAGTGACTGAACCTGAAAGATCACACGACTGTGTAGCTGTCTTGAAAACCATAAGCAAGACTAGAGAAGATTTGAGGGACACTCCGGTGGAACACCCTGATTTGAATCTCTTTACTGACGGATCTTCCTTTTATCTTCACGGTAAGAGATTTACGGGCTTTGCAATAGCTACTGAAAAGTTTGTTCTCATTGCTGAACCCTTGCCACCGACATTAGGAGCTCAAGCTGCAGAATTGATAGCACTAACCAAAGCAGCATTGTATGCTAAGAATAAACGAGTTAATATTTACACTGACTCGAAGTATGCCTATGGCATTTGTCATGCAGTCGGTGCATTGTGGAAAGAAAGAGGCTTTCTAACATCTGCAGGTAAAACCATTGCACATGGGTCTTTGATTAATGACTTGTTGTTGGCAATACAAGAGCCAAAGGAAGTTGCGGTAATTTATATACCTGCTCATACGAAGCGCACTGATCAGCTTGCGACAGGTAATTTTCTTGCAGATGCCGCAGCACGAGCCGCCGCTACTAAAAATTACCCCACGACTGAAGTTGTGGTTGCTAATTTCTTTTCTATCCCAAACCCTGATACCCTTTATCGCGATGTCCCGACCACCGAAATGGAAGAATGGAAGAAGACGCAAGCCGTGCAAGATAAAGGGATGGACCCTGGATGGTAAACCTCTATTGCCCAGAAGGTATGTACTGCCGCTTGCGCGTTGGTACCATGAGAAGGGGCATGGAGGTCCCGAAGCAGTAGCCTCAAAGGTAACCCAGCTATGGGCAGCACCAGGAATCTTTTCAGCAGCTAAGAAACTGACTGAAGGATGTTCTTCGTGTAAGAGATATGGAGATATAAGGCCAAAAGTAACGCCAGGGAAGAGGCCGCCAGCAGTCTATCCTTTTCAGAAACTTCAGATTGACTTTGCGGAAATGCCAGCCGCTCTCGGATATAAATATTGCTGGTAATAGTAGATCAACTCTCTGGGTGGGTAGAAGCTTTCCCGACCCGGAAGAATGATTCAAAAATAGTTGTAAAAATCTTGCTTAAGGAAATCATTCCTCGATATGGCGTACCTGAGGTGATAGACTCTGACCGTGGACCGCATTTTACAGCATCTATTTTATTACAAGTTTATGTAACCCTAGACATCAAAGGACAGTTTCATACTCCGTATCACCCACCTTCATCAGGGCAAGTAGAAAGAATGAATAGAACAATTAAGGAGAAATTAGCAAAAGTATGCAGTGAAACTGAATTAAAGTGGCCAGAGGCATTAAATTTAGTTTTATGGGATCTTAGAACTACTCCAAAGCAGCCGTTAGGAATTAGCCCAGCAGAGGTCCTATTTGGACGAATTTTAGCTGTACCTGGTTCGTATATTTCAGCAAAAACTGCACTACTGGATGGAGATGAGAATGTCACTCAATATTTATTATATTTACAAGATTCCTTTCAGAAAATTAGAAAATATGCATATTGGTACCAAGGTGTGACACCAGAAGTACAGGTTCATGATTATAAAGTGGGAGATGAAGTGTTGGTAAAAACATTTAAACGAAAGAATAAGATGTTGCCAAAATAGGAAGTAAGCCATATGATGCAAGTTGTGCAACGAGACAATGTATCCTGGGATGTTAGTGATTTATGGCAATGGGCTACTTCTTGGATTCCTGATTTTCCAACTTTAATCAAGAAGATTCTAATGGTAGTCGTTTTAGTCATAATCATTTTGATCATGGTAATGTTTGTATGTCAGTGTTGTGTCTCGTGTTTATCTCGTATTCCCACCAGACCCTATTGTATCCGATAGGATAGTGAGTATCCTAAAAGAAAAGGGGGGACTGTTGGGAAAATGTTGCAATGCAGTGCTGCTGCACAAGCTGTTCTATCAGCTCTGTCCCCTGTATAGCCCCAGCCCAGGGCTGCAAGCACAGTCAACTGAATAGAGCATCAATAAAATGTTGTAACAAAGGTAATGGTGGGCCTGACAGTTCAAAGGATGTTGATGTATGAGAAACTGGCCCTTAGCTACCGAAGCAATGGGAGATCTATCATTGTGACTACTAAGAACTGAGACGTACAGAACTTGAGGTAATCTCCCTTGAAGACTAAAAGAAAGAAGAAACAAACAACGAAGTGGTCGGACTCCAGAACAAGATGTGAAACCCACTGTCAAGATAATAATGACTGATAAAGTATAATTCTGTGTATTCTGGATTAGGTAATGCTTTGTAGGTGCATAAATACATGTATGCGAACTCATGTAAGCTGTCACTCTCTGCGGAGGTGACCCAACGCTGCTGGACCTGAATAAAATCCTAGAGTAACCCACGACGGAGTTCGAGTCTCCTTTAACATAACGTGTGACTCTTTCTGGGGCTGCCGTATAGCCTCCTCGCCTCCCGGTTGTGGCCCTCTAGGTCTTCTCGCCTGACATGGTATCTTGTCTGAGAGTCCTTATCGCTTAGAGTTTATCTTGGAATCAAACCTTTGTAGCGTTTAGCATTAGTGTATGCGTGTGCCTGTTTGGCTCAGAGCTGCCCTGCCTGGGGGTGTAGAGTCAGGAGTAAGTAGAACGGCAGTAGAAGTCAACGGTTTAAATGCTGATACGCTTAACCGCCTAGGCGACAGACGTACGGTCACCTCGCAGTAGCCACCACAGGCTGTGCGGCCGGTGATTTCTAGAGCGTTTTATGGAGACTGTTGGAGCGGTGTGGGAGCGGCTGTCCAGCAGTAGCAAAGATGGAATCTCAAAGGTGTTAAGGCTCGTAGGTGTGGGAGCGTACGCTCGGGGGAGGCGCGTGGTTTTCTTTTTAACACAGGCTGTAGTTGGATGCCGGCTAGTATCCCTAGCCGGAAGTGACACCTCCGGATTTGTTAAGCATCCGGGTGACTCGCATGACTGTTTTGACATGCAGATGGATGAGATGCGCACCAAAGAGTGACGGAGGAGGTGAAGCGGAGGGCTGTGAGAAGGTGGGTCACTGAGCGCTGCGGCAGGGAAGATGGCACCAGTGCTATCTGAGGGGATGATAGCAGTGTGTGGTTTTTTGTTTGTTGTTTTTTTTTTGATGGAGAGCCACAAGCAAAGTAGGATTTGGCACCGGAGGCAGCTTGGGCGAGGTGAGCCACGACTAGGGGGGTTAAAGTAGCAGTTCTTATTTTAGGCATCAATTGTAGGTGAAAGTAGAAGCATCCCTTGTTGTAAGTGTGTTACAGGTGGCACACGAGCCTTGACGTGACAACTGGAAACAGCAGCGGCAGGGCAGGTGAAGGGCCGAGGTAAGGGAGCGGGAGATGGGGATCCGTGCGGGCAGAACCCAGTTTCAGGCGGTAACTCGGCACGTGTCTTTTCCTTGAGTTTTTGCAGGTGCCGCGGAGGGGCCGAGGCACGCAGACAACGACAGTCTGAGAAGGTGAGGCAGTTGTCAGCCAGGTCGGTGTCTAATACGGAAGTATCGTAGGACCGCTCCGTTGAGCGCTCGCCTTGTTTTGCAGGTGCTTTGGGAGCCGCCTTTGGGATCGGATGAGCGTTTGAAGCGAGCCGGGGTAGTCGCAAGGAGGATCGTGGGTGACTCGTTAGAAGCGCAAGGGTAACTGTCTCTCGGCATCTTAGGTAACGCCAGCGACGACGCCTGCAGCATTGACTCTGCAAAGAGCCGGTGAGCGGAACCCCGCGACGCTTCCGAGTACAGGGGGGTGTCGTGGAAGAGGTAGGCACGGAGCAGCACGATGCCAACGACGGCCGGCTGTGTTTTCTCCCGTTCGTGTTTCCTTGCAGGTGAAGAGGAAGGCGTCAACTGCGGGAACGTGCTAGTTAGCTGCTGTGCTGCTTTTGTCGAGGATGGAATCGGACCTCCGGCCCTCTGAAAGCTAAGTCGACCGAACGGGGCCACGAGGAGGGCCGAGGTTGGGAATTGCAGGGAAGCGTTTGAAAGTTAGCATGGGGAGAAGGCTGTACAGGAGCGGGGCCCTACGGTCAGGTAAAGGGAACGGGTTACTTTTCCCCTCGATGTTCGCGTGTCCCGGGCAGGGTAGTTCCAGCCTCTGCGTGTGTCAACGTGTAGTTTTGTTTCTTCTGCCTGCCGTGTCTTTGCCCTTCCTCGGCTCTAAATGTCCTCGCGTCTCTTTGTGCTCGAGGAGCACGGCACGTGCCTGAGGCGCCATCCGTAGGGTATCGAACGCCCATCTTCATCGGCACGCTGCCGATCGGTGCTTTTTATTCTTGCGTTATAAGCTTGAAGCGTGGGTAGGTCTTGGAAGTTTCCGGTCGGGAGTCTTTGCGC